CGTGCCGAAATAATGATCACCAAATAGTGATCAAATTTCTTAAAGAAAATATTTTGTCCCAGTTTGGAGTTCCTAACTTAATCATAAGTGATTGGGGGGCTTATTTTTGCAATCGCCCTTTCTGGAATTTGATGAAAAAATATTTGATTTTCTATAAAATTGCAACCCTTTATCATTCCCAAACTAGGGGACAAGCTGAATTAGCTAATCGGGAGATCAAATTAATTTTGAAAAAAATGGTAAATCCAGACCGCAAAGATTGGTCGTCAAGACTAATTGATGACCTCTGGGCATATCGCACTGCGTTTAAAACAATTTTGGGCATGTTTCCTTATCGATTAGTCTATGGAAAACCATGTCACCTACCTGTGGAATTAGAGCATAGGATATACTGGACCATTAAAGCAATGAACTTTGACCTAGATAAGGCTGGACTTTCAAGAAAATTTCAAATTAACTAATTGGAGGAATTGAGAAATGAAACATATGAAAATGCTAAGATTGTTAAAACCATTGACAACCAAAGACGATTTTTATGTCACCACATTAAACCTTAGAATGTTTCTAAGTGAGGATGTCTCTGCAATTAGTGAAAATAAAACTAATAAGGAGAAGTTGGTTGTTGTGGATGCTTGGAAGCATTCGAATTTCTTGTATAGAAATTTTATCTTGAATGGATTGGACAATATATTATACATGTATAGTACTACCAATTAAACAAAAGGGCAATGAAGATCTAAACCTCCCAGAAGAATTATGAAACCTTGAAAAATTTAACTCGCCAATTTCAATAGAAACTTTTGTGTCCCTCCTAAATTAAATTTGATATGCTCCTATCAATTAATACCTTAAGTATTAGAACTCCAACACTATGCAAAGTAGACTACACTCAATCATTCTTAAACATTGTGACTGGTTTGGGGGGAAGAGAAGGGAAAGTATAGCAAAATTTTAAAGTTCACAAGTGAACGAGAATTGAGGAAGAAATATAGTTTTTTTTATCATTTTGAATGAGTAGACTATTTATTTGTATAAATATTGAAACTTGACCAACAATTATTCTTTTTTGATGTGCAAAATTTTTAAGGGTTAACATAAGTAAATTCCATGTTATAAAGAACAAAAGGTTTCCCTAGGATTGTTTATAACTATCACCATACTCAACCATCCAAGCTATCAGACCTCTCTTGAATCAAATCTACCGAATAATTTCAATAGAGATCGCCAAATAATTTCAAAACCGTCATTGATATACTTTTCTAACATTTGCTTCACAAAATATAGTCAAGACATTTTTAGGTATAAAACCTCGAAATTATTCCCAAAAAACAACAGGTATATGGAGGATAGTATCTTGCTAATTCATAATTGCAACTTATTTATACTATATGATAATATGAAATTATACAAGAAGATTTATGGTCATTCGCAGTATAATGTTGTGTGAACCAAAGCACACATTAATTAAGTCACTCTTTTCTTTTAATGAGATGCCAATAACAATAGGAGATTGAACTCAAAAGAAACGTTCATGTTTACACACTATAAATGACTATTGACCCGGGCATCCAGAGGATATAGAAACAATATACAATTCCAAAGAGGCATGTAAGTTCAATCATCACACAAGTTCAGAAAAAAAAAATCTTGAAAGATCATTCTCATTCTATATAATTAATCAAACATTGAACTAGAAGAGTGCCAGGAAACATCTCATGTGAAGATCAACCACCGAGAAACACCAAGCATAGATTCATTGTACTTAAGTAAAAAAAAAATCTTAATTAAAAATACATCCAAACTGGCAATAAAACTGAAATTTATTTCCTAAATTGCAAAGTATACACCTAAATTGCAAACTATCCACCCAAAATTGGCAGCATAGACAGTATGGAGAATTGATGTTCTTGATCGGTTTAGGGCAAAATCGATTTAGGTTAGAATGGAGAATGGACTTACTGGTGGAGGATGTGCTCACTGCTCAGTTGTGGTGGAGGCTGTGCTCATTGCTAGAGGCTGCGGTCAATCTCTTTGTTGAAGGTGCTGGTGGACGCTGTGCTTTCTGGTGGAGCTGTGGATTAAGCTTAGATTTCATAAGGCTCCGATGGTTCTCCGTTGGTCTTCCTCGTCGGAGACAAATGCTGTTGAATGGTTGGAGCTCGTCGGGGAAGAGGCTGGCTGAGAGTGGTTGAGGAGGAGGAGAGCTGAGTGGTTGAAATGTTTGAAAATTTTTGACCTAACCTGTGATTTGTGAAATTTAAGTTATTGGACTTAATGTTTAAATCGTTATTTGGAATGACGTCTTTAAAGACATCATTCCAAATGACGTTTTATCAAGTTCCCCACCCATCTAACATCGTTAGTGAAATATCAAGTTAAAAACGTCATTTGTAATGACGTGTTTAGATGCGTCTCTTTAAATGATGTTTTATGGCTTTATTATCATAGTCCTATTAAGGTTCAAATAGTCATTTCAAATGAAGCTTTTAAATAAAAAAGCCTCATTTAGAATGAGGTTTTTAAAAAAAGACCGAATTTGAGAAATATGTTAAAAACTGATTAGATTGAAAAATATTGATTTCATGGGGGCCGTTTGGGAAAAACCTAGTCTTTCTTCCTATTAACACTTTTACTATTTCAATTACTTGTGTCGAAATAGGGAAGAAATAATAAATATTGTTGCACGAAGGATCTTCGCGTTGATCACATTTAGCAACCTCACATTCATCAGGCCTATTTGAAGTTTGAACGTCCCAAACCAAAAGTCAAGAGTTACTAATTGGAAAAATTTTTGTCACGCACTTCTAATTTATTATATTTTTAAGGACACATTTTCTATTATCAAAAATATCATTGACATACTTATTAATTTATATTTAAACATCACTGAGATCACCTTTCATTAAACCACAATTTATAACAAAAATAAATTATCTCAAATACCAAAATTGCCCCTACAGAAACCTCAAACAATTTTTTTTGCATAAAATTTGATTAAATTCGAGTTGATTAATTTTTTTTTACATATTAAAATTTAAATCGATTAAAATTCGATTTCATCTTATTAAATTTTATTTTTTTAGTGTTAAAATTTGAACCTGTTAAAAGTCTTTTTTTACGTATTAAAATTTGAGTCAATTTGAGCTCTTGAGCTATTGGCCTTGATTAAAATTTGTTTCGAATCAATTAAAGTTTATATATTTTTATTTATTAAAATTTGATTCAAGTTGATGAAAAATTTATTTTTTGCGTCAATTAAAATTTATATTTTTTTATGTATAAAAAATTGGGCCAAGTTGATTAAAAATTGATTTGACTTTTGAATAAAATTTTAATCAGCTCAAATTTTAATACATAAAATTTTAATCGACTCAAATTTTATTATATAAAAAATAAATTTAATTAGCTCAAATCGAATTTTAATACCTAAAAAAATTTAGAAAATATAGGAAGTTTCATTGAAAATATATCTATTTAGAGATGGTGTGGATAAATTTTTTTCTAAAATATATCATAGACAATTTAGTAAAATTATATTCTAATTAACATTATTAATCTGACATGGAGTGTTAGTGAAGTTTTAAAAAATAGAGGGGTGTTCTTGAAGATATGATAAACTAAAAGGATGTGACTGAAATTTTCCTTATTAATATTTTTTGGCAACTGAATTTGCCCTTAATGTCTGAGCTGAAGAGAATAAACATACTTCAAATATGATTCAAGAGAAACTCGACTATGTGCTCCAAAACAACAATATCCGTTGGAGCTTTTGATACATATATTCCATACTAAGAGACAACATATTGCTAGATAATTGCCTAATAATTTCAAGAAATTATAGAAATGAATTTGCAGAGCAAGTAATGTTAGATAAACTTAAAAATTAAACTTGAAAATCTCAACTATTGAATAGGTAGTGAGTTTCAATAAATACTGAGACCCACAGTGAAATCAATGGTTGAGATTATTAAATCTAATTTTTAAATCTACTTTTTAAATTCATGTATCATTACTCTTTGCAGAATGATAATGTAAATCTTTTCAATGACATGCAAGGATAATTGCACTTGCTCCTATGTAGCATAAGCTTGTTAACTCTACCAAACCTGTCCTGTCCAGCCACGAAACAAAGGAGTATTTATGAAACCATTGCCTTTAATTACTATAGAATATCAGATCCCACTTCACCAAGTTTGAAATGTTTCAAACCGTAGGAGTGAATTGAGAAATGCAGATCACAACTTAAGACCAAATTCAATGCCTTACAGAAGTATCACCAACATTCTGCAGTGTCCGGAAAACTCGTCTTCAAAATTAGAGTTTATTGGATGAGGTTCACACGTTTTTCAATTCCTGCCGAGCGTTAAGCATATATACCCACACTGAGGAGCATATTTCCATTACTATAGTCACATTAAGGTCTATTTTGTAAAGATCTACTTTCCCCTTTTCTTTTTCTTTTTTTTTTGATAAACGAACTGATTTTTTATAGATAGGAAAATATGGTACTTACAAGAAAGGTAACAGCAGAAACAACCACATCAAAAACATAAAGCCTTACATCTTGTCTTTCACCCATATTTTCAAAGATAAAACAATACTTTATTTATAAGATAAAACAAAGCAGTACACCACACATTGCTGCTCAAAAGGCACAACCAAAGCCAGCATCAACTTGTTTACTAAATTCTAGTTACTATTAAACTCAGCAATAAGCAACCATGATTGGTATTATCCCCTTAATCCACTGCAGGACCGACAGCTTCAACCACACTATGCATATTGAATCCAATACCGAGCTACAACTTCCATTTATAACAACAAACAGATACCATTAAAAATGAACCCCAACTAGGCCTTCAAAGCAATTTGCAGGAGAATCCCAAATCCCAATGCAATGCCAACAGTTACCTTAGTATGGGAAGCAACCTTCCTCGAATCGCCACTATCTCCACTCGGAAAACAGGATATAAATTACCTTAATAAATTACGGTTCAATACTAGCCTTTCCAACCAAGTTTGAATTCTTGTTCAAACACCTTTCGATTAAACAAAACTTTGGGTTCCACGGTTTGTTCTAGCCGAGTAACACAGAGAACTGACCTTTCCACCGAAGAGAAATACTCTTTTATTGAATTCTCCGTCAGCAATTTAGTCGGAGTTCCCAGCACTCGCAACATGACCGTGATCTCTCGAAACACCAAACCTCTATCCAGACAGACATACAATTCCGACAAGGGGAATCTAGTAGTCGACTGAAACTTGAAATTAGGGTTCAAAAATTCCAAAAACTTGGCTCTTGTTGAATTAAGATTTGAAAAATCAAACGACACAGAACCCAATTCCCTCAACAAGGAAAGAAACGAATTGAGTTTCACAAATCTCAACATGTTAACATAATTGAAATTGAACTTGGGAAAGTATCCACGGTTTGTGGACGAATCATCAATTATGTCCATCAAAATCGAACTCTCAGAGTCATCCATCAGCAAGAAAGATCTAGGAACCCTAATTCCAAAACCTTACCAGTTACGGTAACAGCCCTCCACCAAAACTTTCACAGCCTCAAAGATCGCCTTCTTTAATGCTTGATTGATACGACTGAGCTCATTGGCCTAAAAGAACCAGTCAATCGTCTTCCCAACCAGCTTCATTTCCTCTTTACCGGTTGATCGTTGCTTACCTCTGTAACTCTAGGGTTTTAAGAAGCACACCTGTGACGTCACAGACCTTCAAGGTTACCAGTTGGAACTTGAAGAAGCCATGGACTTCGACCAGTACAAATATGTAGAGACAAGTCTAAGAGATTAAAAGAACCGAAATAGTTGGTCTTCGAAGATGGCGAACGGAGACGTATAGATAGAAATAGATATAGATAGTATTTTATTTTATTTTTGGTAACTCAGTTATTCCCTTGGATCACGATAATACGTTATCCCACTCACTCGTTGAAATAGTGTTGAAATTTGTGCAAAGTCGTCTCTCCACATAATAAAATAAAGTGAAAATTAGGATTGAGCTTCCAGGATAAATTTTAATGACTCGACTCCGTAAAAAAAGTTTATTTAGTAATAAAATCTATTTTTTATCTGACTAATAAATATTTAAGTCCACTATTTTTTTAAATCTCAAAAATATCATTAGCAGTGTTATTCTGTTCAATTATAAAAATCTTAAAAATAGTTTTAAATTAATTTTTTAAATTAAAAATTATTATACTTTAATTCACTTCCAAATTAAAATTCAAATTTATGTTCTCTCTTGTTAGAAGAAGATTATCACTTCAGTACAATAAATTTTTCTCCACAGATATCATTTCTTCTTCCATAACATCAAAATCAGTAAGGTTTGAAACATCATCCACAACTATCATATTTTATAATGCATTCTAGTTATCATGAACAACTATGTCGTTGATTTTCGGAAGAAAAAAAAAGGTTGAAAAACTTGTACAATATGTTATTAGTTTGATTGCCAATTTCATTTTAATTTTTTTGATAAATAATCCCCAAAATTTTTCAATGTTTCATGTTACTACATTTTTTGTTGATCATGTTATTATTATTTTTTTCATATTACTATTTTTTATTGAGCATGTTATTACTTTTTCAGTGTTATTTTTTTGGATGCCGAAGAATTGGAGGTTTCTTCTTCTAGTTTGAATGCTACTATTTTCATTTTTAATTTTGTTTAATGTTCCATATTGTTATTTTTTTTGTTGAGCATATTACTATTTTGTTAAGCATGTTATTATTTTTGTTGAACACGTTACTATTTTTGTTGAACATATTACTATTTTTTTATGTCTAAGTGCTATTATTTTTTATTTTAAATGTTATTATACATACGAGAGATATATAGTCCTAACTTATATATGGATATATATACATATTAGAGAATTTTTTTTTTTTAAAAGTAGTCAAACTCCTAAAATTTAGGAGTTTTTAATTTTTAGTTGTACTTCACTTTTAAAGGGAAGAGATAATCTGATAAAATTGATAAAAATAAACTTTATAATAAATAAATTTTCTTAACGATAAAATATTCGAACTCTCTGACTTATGCCTGTGAAAATACTTATGATTTGGTCGATTTACCACTAGGCTAACTCATGGAGTTAGACATAGATTATATTAATCTCTCTCCGTATCTCATATTTTCTAAGCAAGCACACGAATATTGTGGGGAAACCCCCGAAGTTAACAGAGCGAGAGGGTAGGGTTTGGTGTTTTTATTAACTTATTACAACTAACTATATTTAAGTATTTTAATTTTTTTAAGTTTTATATCTTTTTTATCTACAATTATGTGTACATGACCTTTGGTTATTAAAAAAAAAGAGTTTTTTTTATTGTAAATATATAAAAAAAAAAAAACTTTTTGAAATTGACACAAGAGACCTATTATATCTGCCCCCACCACTCTCTCTTTTCCTTAGGGATGACAGTGGATCGGGGANATGGCAATGGAGAATTATTGATCACCATGTTTGCAGACAGTATTCTGTAAAATGGTGGCCAAGGTACCAGTACCAGAATATTCTAGAAGCCATTCAGAAGGATTACCCAGTCAAGGTTCCAGCCCCACAAGTGGCTCCAAAACCCTTGCCTCCAGTCACTCCTTCAAAAAATCCTATGCCAACACTCAGGGTCTCAGCATCACCTTCTGATAAAGAAGCAAAGATTCTTGCTGAGAGCTCGACCAAGTCAAAGACCAAGAAATCCTCATCTAAGGACTCTGCACAGCAAGCTCCAACAGCAGCCCAATTGCTTGCAATGGCCCAAGAACTAATCCAGCAAGCCCAAGCTGCAAGCAACTCTGAATCATCTCCAGCATCATCATCCGGATCGGTAGCTCCACCTATGAGCCCATTTGCCCAAGATCCGTATGAAGGATATGATGACTTAGATACTGCAGACCTATCCAGTCCGTGATTCTTCTCTTTACCTGTGATGGCTTCAATCACTACTGTCTCCACAATAAGACAGAAAAGCTGCCCATCACATGTAACGATAAGGCCATCACATGGCTGTACTCTGTGGCTGTCCCCCCTAGTGATAGCCTTTTGACCATCAGGATTGCTTTTCCCTTAAGTAAAAGCAATTCACCCTACTTTACCACCGAAAGCAGAAACTCTTGTCCTTTACCTTTTTCTTTGTCTGCCTACTTTGCAAAAGCCTTGATTATTGCAAGGAAGACCTCTCTCCTCCCATTCTATATTTAAGGAGATCAGATGCAAGAAGAAGGGCAAGAATTCTTCTCTCCAGAATTCACTCATTTTATTTTCCTCGTTTAAAAAAAAAACATTGTGCAGATTGTAAGCTCCAAAGTATGAGATGCTCCTATTCCCCACACTTGTATCAATCTTAGTTGGCTAGCCCACTTAGTGCTAGTCCAGTAAGTATTGCTAGTATACTTGTGTGTAATCTTGAATATTGATATTTTAATTCCAGTTTTACATTCCAATTCACATTACAGTCTATTTTCTGCTTCCGCTCTATTTTGGTATATATATATATATATATATATATATATAGGTCACGTATAGGTCATTACATTTATCACGTATAGACTTCTTTATTTATTAAGAGAACAATTTGACTTGGGGTAAAATCACGTATAGGTCATAACATTGACCAATTACTTATTCATTACATTCTGTATTTTTTTTATAAATTAAAGAGGAGTTTACCAGATGAAATTTCTTGGCATAGGTGTGTTTATAAATTTTATTAGAAGTTTCAGAACCATAAATACATTTTACATTGAGCTTTTATCATCCTTTACTTGCATTCCATGTGTGATGTCATTAATGAATGTCATAATTTCAGAACACATGGATCACATATATGTGGGTTCCATTCTTTCTGTTATTTTAGCAAATGTTTTTGGAACATTATACAGGCCATGACCTTGTTGAACAGACTATAGTAATTTATATGGAATTGTAACTAATTATCTCTCAGAATAATTTCTCTTGTTTCAACATAATTGAGTGCAAAAAAAAGAAGACACTTTTTATATTGTTACATATTCTATTCTGATCATAGCAACAAAAAAAATTAAGTTATTTTTATTCTTATGACTTTGCTTGTACTTGGGCAGGTACCGGAGAAGCCGAGAAAGGGACGAGATTTCAAATTTATCCGCAGAAGTGGATGAGGATCAAAATTATACCTCTTAGCTAGGGTGAACCGAGGATGAACAAATATTTTTTTAGTGGATACGAGAATAAAAATTATATCCCCGCCGCTGCTTCGATCTATTGACATCCTTATTTTTCTTTCGCTTTCTTACTTCTATCAACTTTTTCTTTGGCCCTCTCTTTTTCTTTCTTTTTTATTTTTATTTTTTTGTTTTCTCTCCACCTTTAACCGTCCTTTTTTGAAGATAAGATTTTGCAAATCTTTACAAGTCAGAGGAAGTCAATAATTGGCCACAAGGATCAATTGTCCACTGTTCAACCAACTTTNAAAACGGATATTCGTCTAAATTCGTCCCGTTTGGACCGGGGATGAACTATCTGTATTAGATGGTAGACGTATATGGGGATATCCGTATAAACCAGTGTGTGGATGAAGACGGGGATGGACTTACCCTTACACCACCCTCGTCCTCGCCCTCGTTACTTGTTTTATATATATATATATATATNATCTTCAGACTTCATAATCCGGAAGACTCCGACTCAGATAAAGTTAATAACTCAGATAATTCTGATAATTCCCTTCACAACTGCCCTTAGGGACTTACAAAGAGATAACGAGAGGTTTACAGACTCTTGGATAAACAAAGGTACCCTAATTTAATATCAGGTTCGCTTGTCGTAGAAGGTGTAGAAGAATCAAGGGAATTATCAGAATTATCTGAGTTATCAACTTTATCTGAGTCGGAGTCTTCCGGATTATGAAGTCTGAAGATTTTTAGGATTTCTTCAGTCTCTTCATTGGTTAGATTAAGTTTTTTAACTTCTTTTTTAATTGGGCAATCGGGACTTTTGTGACCCTTTTTCCCACAGTTATAACNTTCTTTCTTTGTTTTCATTTTTAGCCCCTCCATCATGCTGCCCCCCACTGATTTCCGTTAGCCGGGCGAATCGGGGATGGACAAATATTTTTTTAATAAATACGAGAATAAAGATTATATGTTCGTCACCTTTTAGATTCATTGACATCTTACTTTTATCAACTTTTTCTCTCTCCCTCTCTTTTTCTTTCTTTTTTATATATATTTTTTTGTTTTCTCTCTACCTTTAACCGTCCTTTTTTGAAGATAAGATTTGCAAATCTTTACAAATCAGAGGAAGTCAATAATTGGCCACAAGGATCAATTGTCCACTGTTCAACCAACTTTGCCTCTTTCTTTGTTTTCATTTTTAGTCCTCCCTCCATCACGCTGTCCCCCACTTCTTATTCTTATTTACTTTCTCTCTTCCTTCGGCATTTTTTTTTCTTTCGGATGATACCAAAATAAGTATAAAGATATG